ACTTCAGGGCATTATGCCCATACCTCCTATGATACCAACAAATGTTACGGCTTTGAGACGGTGTTCTAGAACGTCGTCTAGATCTTGATCGCCGTTGCTTGGATACTATCTGTGACTGGTTCCGCTGTGCTCGAAGCTCAGATACTTCCAGTCGTAAGTCTTGCATTTGAGATGTTAACTGGGAAAGTACCCAAAACATTGGTGCGTCCTTCATAGATGTGGAAGGGCTTGGTGGTACTACCTCTGTAGACACGCTATTTATGCCATTATTTGATAACACATCCATGATATCGTCTGCCATCTTAGCTAATTCTTCAAGGTCTGTCGTCCTAGAAGATATTGTTAGGATTTGTTGAACGTTTTGTGGTAAACGTTGTAAGAACATCTGACGTAGAATTAACTCATCTACTTTGTGTGATCCAATCAACTGACGCATATGTCTAAGTAGTTGAGATGGCTTTTTGTACCTAGATCACACGAAGTAAGTAGTTGTTGTATGCGTTTCTCATCGGAGAGGGTGGTCCGCTGGATGAGTGCAGCTTTTAGTTTGTCATATTGAGAGTCTGTAGGTTTGCTGTCTATGACATCGATAACCTCTCGTAGTACTTCCGTGGGTATTGTTGCTAATACGCAACCATACATGGCAATCTGCGACGTAATACCTCGAGCTGCAAACAACTGTTAAAAAAAGAGGTTCGTAAACGGGCTCACCAATTATTGTGGTGGACCTTTTACTCTGTTAGCTTAGTTACCCAAATTCAAATAGAAAATAAAATACCAAATCAGTTTAGTTACGGGAAGAATATACCAAAGTTTCGTTACTTGGGTTTACAAAGATCCAAAGTCCACAATAAACGTAATAGACTCCAGGTGCTGCGGGAAGACTGCTCCAGTACTAATTCTCCAATGTTGACGTTGCCGGAGGTCGACCAGAGTACGTAGGAAGAAACTACGGTGCTCCTGCAAAAATTCGAGATAGAAAGCAGGTGGTTAAAATTGTTCGACGGCAGTTGAGATGGTGGAGAAGACGGAGAGTCGAAGGCATAATTATATATTCATTCAAAACCCGAGGTAAAATTCAAAGTACAGAGTTTATGGTTAAAACAAAGTAGTGTACAATATGTTCATTTCTTACATAGTAGTAAAATTTGGATAAGTTTTTTTTTGAGTTAGAAGCAGAATAGAAGGCCTACAAAAATTATGCCTGAAAGAAGAGATCCACAGAATCGTGAAAAATTGCAACATATCAGATCTGAAATTGAGCAATTAAAACAAAAGATAAAATGAATAGTTACCAATGCAGATTATGATCTTATAACACAATCCTCCAGTAATGCAAAATCAGCAACTTTCAAAAAGTCAAAAAATAGTCAAATCAAAAAGTTCAACAAATTATTAGAAAAGAAATCTTCATTTCAGAATGATGAAGTCAACAATCCAAAGTCAACGGCGATCGATAAATCAAAGTGGGTTATCAATCTCTCAACACATATATTAAGTCCTACGGAAATAAGTGTATTAGAAAAGAGACTAAATTTCAATGTATCAGTAGACAAGCTGAAACCTGAGGATGTCATCCCTAAAATAGAAATAGCACTAAGTGAGATAGACAAAACTACGGCTGATGAAATACGAGCACAATGTGCACTGACATTAAAACGACAAAAATGTGGAAAACCCAACCTGACAAAACAAGAGATAGAAGCCCTGAAACACCTTAAGAATAACAAGGATATAGTTATCACAAAGTCAGACAAAGTAAATGCAACGGTAGTATTAGACAAATCAGACTATTTGGACAAGGTAAATACTCACATACAAACAGGACCATATGTGGAAATTAATAAACCAATAGATACAGTTCAGTTATGAATAAAGTTAAGAAATCCACAACGGACCTTATACGCCGAATGAAGCCGTTTCTAGGTGAGTCTAAGTGGTTTAATTTAATGCCCAAAACTAATAACCCCAGTAGGATGTATGGTGTTGTTAAAGTTCATAAGTCAGGATACCCTATTAGGCCTATAGTTGATTTGAGAAATTCACCTACTTATGAATTATCTAAATATTTAGCCATGGTATTAAATCCCCTTAAAAGACACTCAAAATCTAGACTAACAAATTCTTATGAACTAAAACATAGATTAGATAATTTAAAATTAGATAACGAAGAAAAAATGGTTAGTTTTGACATTGTCAGTTTATACACACGTATACCAATAAATATGCCTATGGAGGCAGTCAGAAACGAACTCATTTCTGACCGTCCCGGCCGACAACTGCTACCTTGCCGTGGTGGTCGGGCTTGAATGCCGCAGTGACCCAACAAGCTAAACTGGTTGGGACTCATGTCCCTGCAGGTCCTACCATGTCAGGAAGGTTGTTTGGATAGCGGTTAGACTAAAAGCAGTTACCATGGGGTACATGGGCTCCAGAATTCAATCGGATCAAATGGCGTATGAACCCATATGGGTCACCGGCAACCATGGGAACGCAACTCCGCTGCCTTGCGGATTAGACTCCAAGTCAAAGGCTCGGGGATGGTCCCTTAAGAAAACCACCTGCTTCGGTCTGGGCGCCCGGGCGGTATCTCAGCCCTCACACAAGTGTGGCGCATCTTTCTTGGTGCCATACTGTACCAAGTTTTTTTCTGCGTTTAAATAAATAATAAATACATTTCTGACCAAGAACTCGAACTTAGGACAAAAGTGCCACTTGAAGACATAATGCTGGGAGTACAGCTATGCCTGACTTCCACTGTATTTAAATTTAAAGGGAAAATATACAAACAAACTGAAGGAGTTGCCATGGGATCACCAATACCCCCAGTTGTAGCAGATATATTCATGGATAAGTGGGAAAGCATAGCGATTGAAACGTTCACCCCCACCCCAAAAGTATGGTGGAGGTATGTAGATGACACATTCACTGTACTTAAAACACAAGATATAGATAGGTTTTTCGAACATATCAACTCGAAGGTTGAAGCAATTCAATTCACTTATGAATTGAAAAATCAGGAAGGGGAGCTCCCAATGTTAGATTGCAACGTAAAGAGGAAAGAAGATGGGAAGTTAAACACTAGTGTTTACAGGAAACCCACACACTCAAACAGATATTTGGACTTCCAATCATCCCATCCTATGTCAGTAAAAATAGGATTGGTGAAATGTTTAAATGACAGAGCACAAAAACTAAGTAGTACAAAGGAAAATCTAAAACAGGAACTGATACACAAAAAAGAAGCTTTGAAACTTAATAATTACCCGTTAAATTAGTCAAGAAATATGTAGGGAAATGTAAAAATAAAATAAATAATGATAGTAGCGATAGGGATCATAATATTAATGACGAGATGCATGTGAAATATGCGCAAGTCAACTCCAACAACAAGGAATCTGAATCATCAGTAGTAACTCCACCAAGTCTCCAGTAGAGGTATTCTTCGCATCCTGAAAACCCTATGCACTTATCCCAAGTCATGCTATTTGGCTTATGCAAACAGTTACAAACCTTTTGAGTTGGTATCAACGGCTTTATTCATTTGGCTCATTTTATTTATGAGAGCAAGTATCGTGGGAAAATGGCGTATATCTCTAGCACTCATTAACCGACGTTTAAAATGTCATCAACTGACATATTCTTCACGTTAAAACCTTCTTTTTATGCTCTTGTTAGATGAATCCGATGAGTTCTAGCGGTAAACATATCAGAACGATAGGGATATCTACGTTTTACAGTTGTATTGAAAAATAAGTTAACTCATACGGTTCTGCCTGTTTGGTCAAAAGTGGTTTTGTTCTGTGATGATTAGCTTATGGAGAAAAATTTTTTTAGGTTTGAACATTTCAGTTTTAATTTATTTTTTTCGGTATGAAAAATACAATAAGATTCAATAGGTTTTCATATGGTTCTCAGGAAATTTCTATTTTATGCGTATATAATTTACTGGAAGTCTGCTATTTGTCTTTTGCAAATTATCCAGCTTTATACTTGGCGAATCTACGATAAATAAGCAAAATATTTTCTTAAATAGCTCACAGTTGAGACTTGTGATTGCAGCACTGGTTAACATAGGTTTAGACCTTTTAGAGGATATTAGTTTTAAATATTTCTTGGTAATGATGCCAATAAGCGTAAAATCTAGTTTTAGTACCTCTTGCAAGTTCATTCCCAATGTTGTTATATGAAAAGGCATTATGAAAGCCGGTCAGTTGTTTAATTACTCATTACTCAAATAAGTATCAACTTGTTCAAGAATGTTATTTCATAGTCACTATTGGATAAAAGTAGTGAGATTTACGTATTGCACGTTGTGTTTGGTAGAGAGAAAAGAAACACATTGAAATAAGACCAGGGTACTACTGTCAAACTCCGTTGCATTATCTGGTTGTTATTTTTAACATGATATTGTTTTTCACTACTTGCAAAACTGAAATATCCTGTTTATTGACAGTCTAACAATTCTTTCTAAAGACTTACTGTGTGTCATACTAGTTAATTATATCCTAGGCTTATCATTGTTTTCATTGCCTTGTAATCTGAGGGGTTTTAGTGGCGCGGTAGTGCTGCTAAATCTACATCCAAGCTTCTCTTTTTTCTTGGTTTACTGGTGGCACGGATTAAGAGTGCGTCGGTCGGAAATCGGAAGTGGACCTGTCGAGTGTCTGGCGAGCATTCTGCTACTGAACTTACCGCTGCATATTTTATTTGTTGTATTTTCAATATGTGCTTTGGTCAGTCGAGATTTTCTATTGTAGAGACATGGCATTTTTTGTATTCATTTATAATAATAATAACGCGTCAAGCATGTCTTTGAATTGTATTCATCCATTGTTGCAGGGTGATTTGTCAGCTCGACACAGTTATTCGCTGTTTCTTTCTGTTTGCATGTATGTTGCAGTAAATACAGTCAGGTAAAGTGTTTTTATTTGTAGGATTTTCCTCAACTAATTAATTGCTCAGTTGGTTATTATAATCCTTAATGATTTTTGCATTAGATATCGAACTTTTACAGAGAATCCTTTGTTTTTGATTACAAAGTGTACTGCAGCGATTAAATCTGTCTCAGATATATTAAGTAAACTTTCTACTATTGGTGAGAATGCTTTCACAAAAGCGTTTTCCTATGTTTCACAAATAATCAAGTTAGATTATTTTATACTATGGTTATATGAACGTAATTGTTTAATTTAGACAGGAAGTTATTATTCTTCGTGAATTGATAAGTGCTCAAAATGCAATATCAGATCTGATGTTTTTGGAGTCATTGCTTTGTTTAGATCGAGCAAAAACCGGTATACATGAATTCAACAAACTTTTTGTTTCTCAGGTAAGTTTTAAAAAAAATTACATATATACTGCGTACTTATGAAAAAAATTATCTAAACTTGATGATGTAGTGTGTTACATAATTGTTAATGTACTGGACTTCTGGCGAGACGACTAAGTATAAGAGAGAAGTACTAAATGATTGTGTCATATAGTCATAAATTTCCTAACACACGCCACTTTGTTGTTTTTATTTCCTTCGCCTCACTCACGACTTTGAATACAATTCAATTGGTTGGTGACTATTAAAGTATCGACTATTTAATCAATGTGTGGCAAAGTTAAACTCTAAGCCACCACAAACTACCACCGAGCGAATGACTTTGAACGCACCAATTCCATGATGGAGGCATTTTTGGGTATGGAATACAAATATATTTATGAAAGAAGTGCATAAAAGCTGTGTAAATAAATGTTTCATACGACACCTTTCTCTCACATGTGATAAAAACATCTTCCAGTTTAGTGTAGGAGTATCTATGGAAAAGTTACACCACATCCTATACAAATATTCATCTAAATGAGACTATAAATGACATCGATTTGTGATCCATTAATGGTTTGCGGTATATTTTTCAATGTGGCCCTCTAGCTTCATTGTATATATAGTTTTTAACGGGTAAATCAATTAGTTTCTTAGTCATTTCTAATCATAACTAGAGTTGATATTTTCATTTCCAGATATTTAGTGACAAAGTGATATCACCTAGAAAATAGCTAAAAAATTAGAAACCGATAGACAGCTGTTTAGTTCTAGTTTGGATTCATTGACACAGCATACTCAAAACTGTTAAAGTAACTGAGTCACAATCGAAGGTGCACAGACTACTGTTCAGTCACTGAGTCAAAATTAAATAGTTCATATTTTCAACCTCTACTATCTTGCTATGCATGAACTCATCAGTGAGCAGTTATTTTCACAATCGAATCGATAGGCCGCATGAATTGTAGTTTCTCACCAGAACTTCCGGAAAGAACAATCATTCCATGTATCCATTGATTGCAATGTCGGTGGCACAGCGGTAGAATGCTCTCAGACCACGCATTTGGTCCGGCGTTCAATCCCCAGCCGACGCACTCCTTTACCTCGCTAAGCCAGTAATAAGACTGGTAAAGAAGGAAGCTTGAGCATGAGGTTAGCAACCTCATCGAGTAAAAATAAACACTACTGCTACCGAAACTTCAAGCCTCTAGCTTGAAGCCCTATTTTCCACTGGGAACGTAAAGGAATGAAAAATTCTTTGCAATTGTTGTAACACTTGTTGTGTGACTGAGAAAGTTAATTTTTCGCAAACCAAAAGTAACTGAGCTAAATTCTGTCGTCTGTTTTCCAGCTGTTTATAGAAGAAAGTATTACGTGTATAGGAATTATTAAAAAGACGGTTGCACCGAAGGAAATTTTCTTCTCGACGATGTCATCAACTAGTCTGTACATTCGTGTATTTATATTAAATGTGTGAGGAGGTTCCAGAATTATTTCCGGTCAGAAGTCAGATTGATAATATTACAAAGTGTAATAAACAGGAAGATCGGGTAGAAAAGACAAAATAGGATTATAACTACTGGAAAACTCATCAGTTTGTATAATTACGGGTTAAGGACGTAGTACTAACGAAATGGGTAAGAGGTTCGGACACATAAAGATAAAAACAGCAACCAAATCTAATAATGCAGACAAATTTAAAAGGTTAGTAGAACAAATAAATGGAGAGGTTGGACAAGAAAGGTAATAGGATAGATACTCATTATTGGCGAGACTTACTTTTCATGATGGCCACGATAGAAACAACGGTTCGACGTGTTTCTTTTGGACACATAGAGTAGGTTTGAGGTTTTGGATCGCCAGTGCTTCAGGTATTCCTAGATGTCTTGTTTTAAATCCGTTTGGTCAGTCGGATCGGATCTTGTATACGTCTTTGAAGGAATTTTCAAATGAGACTGAATGTCCAGAATTCACCAGATGTTCGGACTGTATACCCTTTGCGTCCTACCTGTGCCAACCATGCTGGATAGTGTTCGCGCTCTCGTTTTACAAGCGAACGCATGGTACGGCCAATGTACTCAGCTCCACAAGAGCAAGTGAACTTGAATATGCATGTTGAAGTGGCCCAATGCGACAGCTTGTCTTTCACGTGCTGGGTGAGTAGTTTCTTGCAGGAGAATGTTATTCGTAGGCTGGCGGCGAAGTATTTTATACTGAGAGACTTCGAAAGCCGTCTATGGAGAATTTCTGCTTCGTTATCACTTTTAAATTCGAGGTTCAATATCAGCATCTTTTGAGGCCAACTTGGACCTTTTCAAGTGTTTTCCTTGGTTTTCGATTCTTGTCTATGAATCTGGGTGGGAATCCATTTTCAATCAAGGTCCCTCGGAGATTTCGTAATTCTTCATCTATTGACTCTTCAGTGCAAATCCTCCGGATCGTCGAGGAAAGAGAGTATATTGGGTTTCTCCTTCTGCTTAGAGGCACACAGCTTTGAAAGTTAATGAACTGTCTGTTCTATGTGGGGTTTTTGTAGATGGATCTTCTTAGCGAGTTGTCTGCATTCCTTCGTAATTGATTGTCGATGAAATGAAACATTGAGTTCGACTCAACTTCCAGGGTGAATTTGATGTTTGGGTGGGCGTTATTGAAGATTTGAAGTAGGTTTTTTAGATCACAATTGTCATCACAAATAATGAAAGTACCATCGATGTATCTCTTGCAGAGATGGAGGTCGTCGATAGTTGATGGTAAGGAGTTGTTTTCTAGGCTAGCCATAAAGCAGTCGGCCACGAGGCGTCCTAGGGGAGAACCAATTGCTACTCCATCTACTTGCCTGCATATTTCGTTGTTGAAACTAAAGTATACGTTGAAGGTATATCGTAGTGACAGTTCTTTTAGGTAATGGATCGGTATACCGACATCGATGCTGTTGGATTGGATGTGGTCACAATCTGACCTCTGACCGGAAATAATTCTGGAACTTTCTCACACATTTAATATAAATACACGAATGTACAGCCTAGTTGATGACTTCGTCGAAAAGAAAATTTTCTTCGCTGCAACCATCTTTTTAATAATTCCTATTATCCATTGTGTATATTACGTCCATCTAAAATTGCGTCGGTTCAACTGAGTTGTGTAAATGACTTAGTACTATCATTTAGCCTAACTTTTTATCTTTTCTTTACTACCATAATCACCCGTAAGAATGCATTTTGTCTATCAGAGTTTTACAATGATTCTGTTATTCTCTACGACTATACAATAACAGTTTTATACATTTTCGTTCGCCAATAGAAAAAAAGGAAATCACTGGAATGATATCCTTGCTTAACCCTTTGGGTTGTTGAATCTTTCAATAAGTACCTCTAGCATACATTCTTTTTAATTACTAATAAACTAATGAAAATTCAGTACGTTCATCCAGTGAGACTACCGAAATTAGTTTCTACTATTTGTTCGTTTTTTCAAACTATCCGCCACAGCGTATGAATTGCAGTGGCACAGTAACGCATTAGTTCATATTTCAGATTATCAATTATTGTGTTACTTGTATCAATCAATTTAGCTTAAACAACTGAATACTATCACATAAACTATTCATAACACGTCGAGTGTGATAGTTATTAATCCAGTGCACAAATGTGTTTTATGCCTGTTATCTTCATTTGTTGAGAAAATTTATTTGTACGTATTTTTTCTTTCTTGTACTTTTAGAAAGATATCTGAAATCATATCTTTTCTGTGTCATATGCAACTTACGCGTATATGTATACACATGTAATACGTTTTAGAAATATTGATCACATTATTTTGTCGATAAACTATGCTGGTTAGTGAACTTAGTTTTCTGCTGTTGTTGTTGTTTTTTTTTTCTTCTCTACAGGGCATTATTCCACTCGGTAGACAACCTGCGATTGTTTCATGGCTTGAAGGCTTTTACGCGAATTTATTAAGTAAATATACATTATACTGGTTTGAAATTTTAACTCGTTCTGCATCTGGTCTTCATGAAATCGAAGCTACAGTGAATTCGGAGAATCCAGATTTAGTCAATAGGTAGGTGGATTACTTTATTCACTAAGCAAGATTGATAATGTATTTTCTTTCCAAGTGTTCGTTTGCAGCGATTTGATTGGTTTCAGGTTTGATCATGAGCTGACGTCGGTTAGAGAACTATTGGGAGAACAGGGAGTATTGGATAGCTGATTCATCCTAGTTTGGGACTCTTCGGCAGGAGGCATGCATGAGAGTTCGAACCCAAGATCTCCTAGTTACAAGGCGACCTCGTAAACCATTCAACCACTGGGATGTGATCCAATGACCCATGAATTTCAACTTCTGCCAATTCTCGATATATAACCCAACCTCCGGCCAGTGTCATGGACGAATAACTGTCCTCTTACTTGGCTTGGATCGCTCTAGCAGAAGTTGGGATTCATGGGTCGTTGAAACGGATCAAATTGGCTGTACGGTCTACGAGCTTGCCGTGTAACCGGTAGGTTTGGACCCCGGTGGATGTGTCTGAATAGCTCCAAACCAGTGCAAAACAGCTTCAGTACTTCCGGGTCTTCAAATGATTCTCTAACTGATGTCGGCTCTTGATCAAACCTGGTTCGGTCAGTACTGTAATGTTTGTTAAGTAAAAATACACTCATCATAATCCGGTAGTTTATAAGTTTATCCGAACTCTTACATGTTACCTCGTTAAGTCAATATTTATTACTTTCTTACAGATACATTTTATGTATCTCTAGGACATTCTAGTCACAGTCAGAAATTCTCATTTATGAATAAAGACATTTGCTCAAGGCATACCTTCATGATAATGTTTTAAAGTTACAGCCAGATGGCAACAAAATAGGAGGAATTTGAAACTTCGGTAGTATTACTTTTTCAAGGAGATATATGGAGTCTTCTATAAGAGTAGGGTTGACTAGTCGCATTTAAATTTATCATCCGGTGATGATCCCCTACTCTTCAAGCTAGAGTTTACGAGGTTGTTCTGCTAAACTGTGTTACCTGGTTATATGATGTTAAGTGAATATAGTTTACTGTAATGCGAAATCAGTTTGGTTGTTCAATTATAAAATGTTCTTGGGAGCGGGTTTCTAACCGGGTTTTTTAAATCTTATTAACACTGAACACATGTAATAAGGGTAATTCAGCTCATTATTTTCCAAATCATATCCTTTTACGATTGTTGAATTTCAATTGCTTGTCCGAAGAACACTGATGTGGTTATCTTTTCGGTATATATGAGAAGGTCTTTGCCAGGCTTAGTCTCCTTTATGATAGACTTTCTTTTTATTAACGCTATTGCGATTTAAACATCTGAAGATTTACTGTTTCGCTGTTCGTGTACACACAATCTGTGTATTCATATTGTTCAACTGGTAGTAATAAAATTGCACTATTATTACTACAAAAGGGAAAACGAATTGTATGAGTTATGCTTTACGAAAGTGTAGACTGATCTACTGACATCTCAGTGTTTGAAACACGAAATTTTCTCAAAGTAATATTTCCGTTTGCCCAGTACCACTTCTGTTCTTTATCTTTACTACCTTGCCCACGAAATGTGCAGGAGTTAAAAATTCACTTCCGTGTAGACAAGTATTTTATACATTTACAAATTAACAAGCAGGTCAGTCTACCGTTGTTCTAACAAATTATGTGTGCGTGATTCGTGATTTTGTCTGCCATTTAATTAATTAATCAATCATACATATTGGATTTATTTTGAAATACCCTTCATCTTCATACGACATACTCATGGAGAAATCCTCACTGCCTTTTTTCTTTGTTTTTTTTAGCATTATACATTTCCAACGAGAAACTAATGCGTTAAACATTTCCCTACTGTTTGATACAACTTGTCAGTCGTTTGCATTCCTTGGACATGGTTATGTTTTGAGAGGTTCCGTTGGTGATGCACCTAAAGGCATCGGTAGTATTCCGCCAATTTTTACTGCTCCACTGGTACATGATAAATATATTTCATACTTTTTTTGTTTATTCACATAAATTAATTCATTCTATACGTAGGATATACACGTCCCTAAGATCCCTAGTTTACTCAACCTTATTTTATTCCTTTACATTCCCAGTGGAACATAGGGCTTCAAGCTAGAGGCTTGAAGTTTCGGTAGCAGTGGTGTTTATTTTTACTCGATGAGGTTGCTAGCCTCATTCTCAAGCTTCCCTCTTTACTAGTCTTATTACTGGCTTAGCGAGGTAAAGGAGCGCGTCGGCTGGGGATCGAACCCTAACTTAAAGGAACAACTTTGAAACTTTGTGAAGATCAGATTTAACATTAACAAAATAATTGTTAGCGGGAAGGCTTCATTACTCCATGAAAAAAATTCAACGGGATTTAGACTCACTAATTTGTATATTTCTTGTTATTCTGACCATCATCCTAACTCCCCTGAGTTACACTAATTTTGATTATTCGTCAACAATTGCTGATTCAATTCTGGTTTCTGAGTTATTATGCGTCGCTAAATGACCACTTCAATTCTTTGCAAAGCTACTAATTGAACTGTCATTAAATAACCCTAATTTTTGAGGCCTGTATATAGGTTCGTATGTGTGGTAATTAGTCTCTAAATCACTGTTATGAGAGATGGCTTCACTAACCGAGTTAGCTATATTTGCTAATTCGGTTTAAACACTTTTGAAAGTCAGTATAGCCGTCATTGAAAATTGCGAAAACTGAAGAGATAGTATTGATTAATTGTAACTGCATTAGCGTTATCATAATTATGAGCTGATTCAGTATATTGCTGTAAAACTTGTATTGTGTTAGATGGTTAATTGTGTGTTTCTTAATGTCATATATAATTTATCGTTGCATATTTCATCCGAATTTGTCTTAAGAATCATAATGATAGGAAATGTACATTATATTATGGAAAAAGAACCTTATGAGTTCAACCATTTGGTTTTCGTGAAATAAGTTATGAATTCAAATCCAGCATCATCTACTTCATCATGGTCGAATAGTTAGTATCACACTAGCTGTTCCACAAGTTGCTGATCGTCTAGGAGATAAGGTAGTTGCGTAATAGCATATAGTGTTGTTGGTGTTTTTTTGGATCAAGGTATATAGGAAAAATAAATTATAATAGCTGTAGTCTGGACAGTAGGTTTCCACACAGTACTGAATTTTTAGCCTACATCATATTGCATTCTTCGTTCAGGATTGTCAAGAGGAAACGGTAATCGCCAGTATATCATGTGACGTAACCATCTTCAGTCTGAAGCAAGATTCTATCCATTACGGTATTTTTCCTTCGAAAAGTGTAAATCAGTGGATCGGCAGTTGATTTATAGTATGTGTGAGTACATATTGCCAACTGAGGACATAATTAGATCATTGAAACCATAACAATGGAGGCAAGTTGATGCATCATGCTGAGTGTAGAAACATGGATAACCCGCTGATGTAAACAGGTCGTCAAAATTTAGGTCAAGCTCATCAAATATTTCCTTTCTTATTCACATGACTGTTCACGGCTTTAAAGTTTAAATTTAGATTCCACTTCTAAAATAGAGCTGTGGCTCATCGGCCCAGGCACTCAACTTGAAACCAATAAGTCACCGACTGGAAACCCACTCCGCCTACTGAGATTTGGGCAACCAGGTGTAGCTCATCGCCAAATGCAGGAGCTGCAAGTGGTTTCACAAAACGAAATGGTGCACTTACTAGTTAGTAATACCTTAAAAATGATGAGACAATTGTTTATAAGCGCTATACTCACTACAAGTCGTGCTATTTGTAATAATCATGTTAACCAGTCAACCTCAAGTGATGTACCAGTTTCATCAATTGCTTGTCTCTGTTAATAGTTTTCACCACATGCATATGCCAGTTCTGTTGTCAAAGACAGGAGCATGTAGTGATGATCCTTATTCACTGGAGAAATGGGTCGGTCATCGCTTAGAGTTTTTGTTTCTGTTCAAGATTATTGTCAGTTAACATTTGTTGCAACATTTCTTGTATTTCTGTATATGTATGTATAGTGAGAGAGATTATATATCATGTTTGACACATTTAGTTGTATAAAACTACATTTTTTTTCTTTTCTTATATCTTACAGGGTAGTTGTTTATCTCCAGTCGACGTGTATACAATTGTTATGCAAATCAACAGTACACTTCATCATGGCAGTGATGATGAAAAGGATAATCTGAATGAATTGCTAAAACCACCACGTTATGTATACGATGAAAAATTATCGCATACATATTACATTAAAAAAATAGAATGTCGTGTATACTTAGCACTAGTTTATGAAGGTTTAAAATCTCAAAAAGATAAAGCAATCAACGAATTTATATCAATGCTTACAGAGACAGTGTGTTTACATAAGGTTGTTAATCTCTTGAGACAACGCCAACAAACATCCTCTTCTTCATCGTCATCATCATCATCATCGTCTGAACGAAACTATCTACGATCATTATTTTTTCACTAGTTTATGCGGTTTGTTTGTTTTTTGATAATCCACTGGATTTCTTTTATACTTCTATTAATTTGTATGATTTCTGCAACATAAAAATTATCCCTGTCTTTCTCAGCCCATAGACAGGAGAAAAACGTGTATATATTTGTATAATTATATATTGTATAAGAACGAGATATAAAGTAGTGTGAACGTACATGTCTTCCTTCTATTTGTCACAATTATAATTATAGTCAAGTGAAAAGACTCATTCCGATAAGTTATTTTAGATTAACTTAATTTGATGAACTAAAGCTTCAGATTGAAGACTGTTGCTTTGAATCTCCTCATTTAAGTTTGTCTAGATATTTACTTGTGACACCTATCACCATGCGATAATTTTGAATTATCTGTAGTAAATCAATTAAATGTCAGATATACTATAGTTCTGATATAATCTGGATATCTCTGTTGTTATATCCAATTCAACTCAAATTACAAGTCAGTTATAGTGTTGTAGTTTCACTCTTTGAACTTTGAATTTACTTAAACATGCGTCATCAGTGAATAGTATTACGCAATTCAATTATGATCCAGATGCTAATGTCACTTTTGACACATGGTATCAGCGCTATGAGGATTTATTCAGAGTTAATCTCACCTCGCAAGACGATGCTCGGAAGGTCCAATTGTTGCTACGTAAATTGGGTCCTGCAGAATATGAAAGGTACTGCAACCTAATTTTACCCCAAAAGCCACGTGACAAGTGTTTCGACGACACAATAAAGCTTCTGAGTGAACATTGTGGAGACCACTCCTCATTATTCAGCATACGATATCGTCGCCTCAAGCTGACAATGAATGAAAATGATGATTTTCTTAGTCATGTTGGCACAGTCAACCAAGAATGTGAAAGATTTCGACTTAGGTCCTTAACAGATGATCAATTCAGAGCCTTGATTCTCATATGCAGTCTTCAATCTCCTCGTTTCACAGATATTCGAACGCGACTGCTCAATCAGTTAACTCTACATGATATAGCTGATGAATATCAACGGCTCATCAATTTGCAGAAAGATACGCACCTGGTCGAATCACCAACTTCGAGAAGCTCTGACATTCGTGCATTACGAAAGAGCAAAAATCTCTCTTCATCATCCAGTCCTGACCCACCTTCTCCAAATGTTCCGCGTAACCCTACACATACTCGTCCAACCTCACAAAATACTGCAAAGAAGACCCCACCATCACCATGCTGGCATTGAGGCGCATGGCACTTTGTAAAGTCATGTCCATACAAAAATCATCGTTGCAGCAAGTGTAACATCGTCGGTCATAAAGCCGGATTTTGTCAGCCATGCCAACCCAAATGCCATAAGCAAACGAAAGCTCGATCAACTGTTAGTCCTAAAGCTCCAAGAAGATCAATGAGTCTACTCGCAACCTGTCAAGTCACAATACCTGGTATGCGGAAATATATTGATCTTCAGATAAATGGTCACAATACACGACTGCAGTTCTATACTGCCTCTTACATTACGGTTATATCAGAGAAACTTTGGAATGATATTGGCAGACTACCTATCACAAACACTTCGCAGATTGCTGTCAGCGCCTGTGGCGGGCGCCTTCAACTAACTGGCGAACTCGAGTGCTCCGTGTCTTTCCGCAACATCAAATTCACAGGAATTTGTTACGTCACCCAGAGTGATTTAAATCTTTTGGGACTTGATTGGTTCGACCGGTTACATCTCGCTAATGTCCCACTTAATTCTGTATGCAATGCAGTCAACAAGGATAAAAATCCAGCCAACTCTTTTTCTGATTTATGCAAGCTAGTTGCACCTGTTTTTCAACCTGGTTTAGGTCACTGCACCTCGACGAAAGCTACCTTTCGTGTATTACCAGACGCAAAACCGGTTTTTCGTCCCAAAGAGACCAGTCCCATATACATCTGTAGCAAAAGTTGACGAGGAATTGGAGAGACTACAACAACAAGGCGTATTAGCGCCAGTCACGTACTTGGCATGGGCAACACCCATCGTAGTTGTCAAGAAAGCAAATGGGTCCCTACGTATTTGCGATGATTTTTCTACTGGGTTGAATGCTGCACTAGAACAGTACCATTATCCTCTACCTAGCCCGGATGATTTATTCACTGTTTTAAATAATGGCTCTTAATTTGTAAAACTGGATCTTTCTGACGCATATCCACAAGTTGTAGTAGCTCCAGAATGCCGAGAACTCCTTACTATTAATACACATCGAGTAGATATTGGAATAAAATTCAATATGAGATAATGTACATTATAAATTATTTAAATTAATCCCAGCGTGTTAAGAAAATCAAAACAAGATTTTTCTGAACGTTTCGCTGTGTAAGCCACAGCTTCTTCAGCAGATTTATTCGGATTTTAATAATCATCAAAATATATAGTCAAAAATTTTTTACATACATTACAGTCAGTTTGTCTGAAGGTCATTTGTCTATGGACATTTTTACCAATAGAAAATATGTATGTAATTTATAATGAATCAATCTGACTCGGCGCTGAAATTATTTCAGGAAGTTCGTAACACCTACGGCCTGGAAACCTATAATCTTATTAAAAATGAGATAATGTACATTCATAAATAATAATACGAGTGTATTGATCAATTACAATTAGATGGGAAATAAGACGAGTGTTTTTATAGTTATAATAAGTTACTTGTTAGAATGTTGTGATGTGTTTGAATTTAAACAGAAATTTAAGATGTATTATCCTCTTCTGGTTTGACCGGCGGTAATAATATCTTCCATTTTTCTGGTATTTATATTGAGTCATTCCTGTTGCATGTGTTGAGTGTACACTCGGTGAACCAGGATTCAGTAATCAACCTCTCTCTCCACCTACCTAGATTACTTTTTAGAATTTTAACCCTATTGTATGGCTGTTTGTCAATGCGTGAAGTGCAATTGCTGAGCTTTTTTCTAAATTACTTATCTTTTCGGGGTTAACCCTTCTTCCTTTATCTAAGTTCTTATGTTCTGACAGTCTGACTACTCCCGACCTACTAGTGTGACCTATGTAGTTGACCTCACAGTCATTGCAGGGTATTTTGTAAATTATATTATTTTGTCTAATTGGGTCCACTGGGTCCTCTAACCTACAGAGCTTGTCCGTGAGTGAGTTTGTAGGTTTGAATGCCACTCTAATTCCTGTTTTATTGAGAATCCTACGTAGGGTCTCAGATGTCCCCTCCTTATATGGTATAACAGTAGATGCCGTATTTTCTCTTATTTATGTTATCATTACTAGTTTCACAACTATTTTGGTTTTTACTGATGTTCCTAATGAATTTTATTGGATAGTCATTCAACACCAACGCTTCTTCTATCTGTTTTATTTCATCATTTAGGTCTTTTCTTGTGCTACTTAGTGCTATGGCTCGGTTTTTTAAACACTTAACTAAGCCTGCCTTAACAGTTAAAGGATGAGATGAATTAAAGTCTAAGTATCTATTAGAATGCGTTGGTTTTTTATAAATACTAGTATGTAGTTTGCCTTCTTCTATTCGTTCTATTTTACAATCCAACAAAGCTTATTCTCCTTGTGCATTTTCCGATTCAAATGTTAATTTTATTCCCTTACTATTGAGTTTAAATGTGTCAAGAAGCTAGAGATATGTTCTGTTTTCAACACTGTGAAAGTGTCATCCACATATCTCCGTCATATTTTTGGAGTAGGATTGAATGTATTAAGAGCACTATTCTCCCAGCTGTCCATGAATATGTCTGCTACGATAGGGGATATTGGTGATCCCATTGCTACGCCTTCTGTTTGTCTATAGTTTTGCCTTGGAATTTGTGCTGGAAACGTCATCAGTGAATATTACTGTACAACACTATGTGGTTCATCCAAATAAAATCTTATCCATAATGGAGTTAGATAAATACCTATTTGAGATCGATAGCAAGACTCATGATAAAAATGCCTCGTATAATATCCAGTCAGCTGTACAGACAGTGGTAAAGGCAGGCCGTGTGTAACCTTAAACCCAGGTTAGTAAATACCACTGGATTTGTGTTGCTTCATGCCAACTGACAGACACAAGGGAATTACTTGAAACATAATAGTGAGCAAAAGCTGCTCAAATGCAGGTTGACCAGAAACCATCACAAAGACTGTGAACAGGAGTGGGCGGAAAAGTACAAGATAGATGCAAAAGCATTCTGTGGTAGGAAAGACCAGATGGCTGGTTAAAGAAAAATGATAAGCGAGGTGATTTTTCACAAGGTCACTTTAATTAGCTGCCAGGATACATTATTGGGACGTTGGGCTGAACACTTTATGGAACAGTCTAACTGAGCTAAAACCATAGTGAGTTCGCCCAACATTTACCTGAGTGGGATATGGTCATTCGTCGTCTATCAACTGTAATTGAAGTTACAAAGGTGATTTCTAATCTGAAACGAGACAAAACAGCAGGGTCTGATAGGATGACTCCAGTGGTGATGAACTGTTGTGACGGTTAACTAAGATATTAGGCAATGTCTGTGAATCAAAAATAGTTCCGTTAGAATGGTCTTAATCGTTAATTATCCCAGTTGCATCCACCTTAATGGACTGATTACTGACGGAAATTCAGTAGTGTGGCATTCGCTAACTTACATCATCTCTGATGTAGACTTGATATGACAACATCCATCAAAGGTGTATGTGTGTGTACTGGGCGGCAGTTTGCTCTGTCTCTATCTCTTTGTGGCTATCGAGAAAGGAAGATATGGAAAGGTTAGCTGCCTTTGACAATAGATGTTTGCATGCTATCTCCTACTTTAGGTGGGGTAGTATGGTGAGTAGTAATACTGAGGTTAGGTGTAGAAAGACGGTTAAGGCGGACACGTCAATCGATGAAGTCATACGAACTGATATGCCTAGGACATGTGTTATGTATGCCAGTCTTCAATGACTTCGTAGTCGAGTGACGTTAGCTGACTGACATAAGATTAGGTTGTTGTCGGGACTGGAACCCCGGACCACTTGCATGATTGGCCAGCATTCTACTGCTGAATCACCGGCGTGCTCTGTACTAATGACACATGTTTAAATTAATTCAATGTTCAAAGAGTCAAACTATAGTCGTATTTATAATACGGAAAATGGTATTGAAGGCACTTTAGAAATGATGAGAATAAAGGTAATTATAATGTGTTTTTAATGGGATGGAGTTGAA